TCAACACATGGACAAAGAACAGGGACAATATTAGCTTTCCACATCCTCAGTTTAACCTAACCTACATAGTTATCACAGATTTTGGCTTTCTTCATAGTATGCCTACAAAATATATAATACTGAATGTTTTTATAACAGCAGCTAAATAATTCAAAATTCAGAGGTAAACAATAATAACTTTTTTTTTGCTGTAATCAACAGCAAGAATACATTCTGAATATCCTGGTATAGTTTGAAACTGTCTTTTAAACTTTTCAAATAATAAAAAAAACTTAATTTGGCATTCAATTGAATTCCATACACATCACTAAATGCACGGCTTAATTTATTAATTTAGTTGTATTTACATGTATGCCCTTTTAAAATTGCTTTCTCATCCCTCTTAGTAAAAGTATACTCTGTGGTTTTCTCCACTATTTACATTGTGTCATGTTCTGTATCAGAAATTCTTCCTTAATCACACAGAATACACAATGTTTTTTTTTCATGTGGAAGTGAGTTATCCTGACAGAATGAAAGTGTTGAAGAACCACAACAGTGTATATATAAAACCAAAAGATTCAATGTCTACAATGTAGCAGTGGAAATAAGATTTCAGACACTAGTTGATCAATAAAACCTAGTTAAAGTGCATTTAGAAAAACTCCGATAAAACTTCCAGTGACAGACTCCAACTTAAACTGGCCACACGAATGCTACACACTACCAAGTGCATACATCAGATAGCTAAGCCTATTTTTCTCTCTCTCTCTTTAAGTTGGTTAACCTTTTGTACAGCTCATCTTTTTCATAAATATCAATACAATCTGTCACACATGGTGATAGCTTTAATTCAAAACTGAGGTCTGAACAATGTGTTTTATTTTAAATATTACTTAGAGAAGCCAAATTTCCTACTTGATATGAATTTTTTGAAATAATTTGGGTGAAAAATCTATTGTGTGTGATTGAAACTTATTTATAATTTAAAGTGCCTAACGAGTTGATAAGTATTCTATTACCACATTTTAAGACAAACTATGGGAAAGAACTACAGAATATGTAATTATTAACTGAAGCTACAAAAACCTTTATCTTACGATATTATACATGATATATATATCTATATCATTTGGTACCAGACTTCCTGTATTACATGGTATTTCATGAATTCTAACTCGAGGTATTAACTTTCACACAGGATTGTTGATGTTAGTTTTTACTCATACATCTGTAAAAATTTTTCTATTTCTATGTTCTTATCAAAAGTCCATGCACAACTCTAATAGAAGTAAGTAGTTGTTAAAAGACGAGATTACCTGTTGGTGGAACGGCAGGTTTTAGATCTTGTAGCTTTTGTAACCATGAAGACATATTATTGAAAGAATCTTCATTGGTAACATCAAATACTAATGCCCACATGGATGGATTATGCCACTAGCAAACACAGAAAACGTTTTGTATCATAAAAAAACCAAAACTATACCAATGTTTAATTTTTGAGACAATAAAGTTGCAATGCTGTTGTTGTTCACCACATATGATAGAAATGACCACTTATTTTCTTGATTGGTCAGAAACTGGTCAAATAATCTAAAACATGTATTAAATACCATAAATACCCATGCATTAGCCAAGGTTTATGATAATTTTTAGGACCCCCAATCCCCCTATAGCAGAGTCTTGGAATTACACCTCTACTAAATCATTACAAAATGATGTATTCAATCCAAACAATTAAAAACTATTCTTTCTGCCAAAGCTTAATATTTCTTACCTTTTGACATGTGTTAACATTTTCTTACACTGATAGGTACTTAGCTCTACTAGCTATCTCGATCCTCGTTTGCCCTCTAAGCATTGCTAAACATTTTTGCTATCAGTGCAACAGTCTTTATACCCCATCAGTTTTATGGGATTTCAGAACATGTATATATCGTGTGACTACTCTCCACCAATAGTATTGCACCATCTTTACTGGCACAACTAGCACCTTCTGATATTCCCACTCAATCCTCACTTTTGAGAATTGGCAGGTATTAAAATAAAAACACCGGCAATGCGGAGGAAGGGTGGGAACTGTGTGTGTAGAGGTAAGTACCTATCAGATATACATTTTCAGTGTAAGAAAAATGTTAACTTCCAAAATGGTCTTACCTCCTTTCACACAAAGCTAGAATCGTACATTGCAAAAGTGAAGAGGCCGGTTTAGGTGCACAAATATCAAACCAAATGGAAAGCAGCTGCCCAAAATGAACGGGTGTACTATGAGATGAAAAAGAAGCACACCTATGGGGTACCACATTACTTCTGGAACAATTATGCTCTTAACCAAGGAAATAGGAAAGTAACACAAAATGGGTAGAATTGAATTTACTGGCTCAATTGAATGTGTTAATAATTTGTAATAGCCCTGGACAAGTGGTGGAATTACCGTATGTCCTGAAGAACATACATGTTTCATTTGTCACAGGACTGTACCTGTGTTAAAAACCTAGCCAGAAATGCTTGCAGTGAAACACAATGTGAACATCGGATTGGTGTAAACTGAAGCAAGATATAACAGGATGAGCTAGGTAACTACCCAACCTCAACCTGTCAGACAATGCTTCATAGCTTGTCCTCGTCATTAGTAGGTTTTAGGAAGAGAAGAAAAAAAAAAAGGAATAACAACAAGTGACTAAGGCATGAGGACTATGTAATCTATTCAATGATGACCTCAACTGATTAAGTTATTTTACTACTAGAAATAAATGATCTTATAACACACAAAGTGTTGTTATTATTTAATTAAACACTCAACAGTTCACTTTACAGCTTCCTCAGAAGCATTCACTAAAACACAAACCGAAACTGACAGTACAAAGCTTCAAAATGATGAAAAAATTATTCCAATAGAACATTAAAATAATTATATGTAAGGTACAAACTATCTACACATACCTAATTAACAAAGTACTTATAAATAAGAAACGGACAAACTATCTAAATTTACCTAGTCCACAAAGTATGTAATAATAACAAACGTGCAAACTGACGAAAATTACCTAGAAACCACAGTAATAATCAATATCTAACCCACAATTCCAATAAATTAACCTAGATAACAAAATACTAAATAAATGCAAAAAAAATTGCTGAAACAAGTGAATGCAAACACAGTAAAAGAAAACTGTTGAAAAAAATGAAATGGCAAAGAAGCATGTTCATAAAAAAGTAACCACATGTGAAAAAGCATATATCTAAACAATGCTGTAACAATCAAGACAGTGAGAATTGAGCAGAAATAGCAGAGGGAGTTAGCCACACTAATATAGATGGAGAGTAATCACATGATATGTACATGTTCTAAAATGGCACAAAACTGATGCACGGATTACAAATATTTTTTTAGCAATGTTTAGAGGGCAAACAAGGATCAAGATAACCTATTGTGAGAGAAGGTAAGAATGTTTTGGAATGTTTGATTTTATATATAGATAGATAGATATGAGTTTAATGGATTCTTACTCTTCACTTGGCAAAACCTTTATAGGTGAGTGATGTTATAATATGTCATATTATACCCTCCAAATTTATATAGCCAACAACAACATTTTTTTTAAACATGCATTATAACTTTATCATAATGACACATCATTAACAAACACAGATAGTTATTTGGTGTAATGGCTGTTAATATTATTTATGATATACAATGTCAAAATGGCAGTGCTGTATGAAGCAGTAACTTTCTTATTGGAAGGCTGGAGATGAACCATAAGTTGAATCTTATTTTCAAGTAATTTACATTATTTACATTAAATTCTGTAAAATTCAACATATGCAGTCAAAATAAAAACAAATAATAAATATAATATCTGACTGTACTTGGTATTATTTCATCAGTCAACTGCCCATTTTTTTACTACTGATCAAATGAACAACCCTGCTACATGCACACACACACACACACACACATAAAAACAAAACAAACTGTACACATCAATGAAAAGTGATCTATGAAACAGATGGTATTCAGAAAAAAACTACAAAAATTGAAGTATTTCACATCTCTACAACATCCTTATCACACTGATTATCCAAGTTACATTTTCATTTACTTTTCTATTTATGTATTATATCCTCCGAGATTTAATTTATTATTTCAAAGATCTCCAACAGATAATGCTGTTCAACTCTAGAGTAAGAAAAAAGGAAAGCAAATTTTTTGTTAAACTGTATATTTAGAACATTGATTTAAAGTCAACTATTTGTAAGAATTCATAAAACTAAAGTTACAAGTACAATAGTACAGAGTTTAGAAAATGTTACAAAAAATTGGAGCCTTTTTATGTAAATATTTCAGAGTAGGAGATATATAACCAAAAATCTATTCTTACACCAAATTCATTGTTCTAAAATGATGCACACATTTTTTTTCGTTTTTGAAAAGCTAGGTTACTTTATCACATCCAAAAAACGTAATTGAAATTATTAACAAATAAAAAAATATTTGTTGTTGCATTCAAAGAAATTGTATTTTATTAACTGTATTTGATATGATACCATAACTTAACATACCAACTTTTGCATCATATCAAGGTAAGTCTCCTTTCCAGATGAATCATAGAAGTACAATTCCTATATCACAGAAATTAATAGTTTTAGTACTAGTATTTACATTATAAAGTTGTTAACTTTTCTATTAATAAATACTAAAAATATTTGACATCACATGTATGTACCCGTGATTAGACAGGATTCAATAACACTGTGTTCCTCAAAATACTATTAATTGCAAGTATCCACATAGTTTATTTTCTATTTTTGTTACTCTGAAACTACACATTCTAGTACTAATCAGGTGGTTGAGCAGAATACATTATTTTTGTAAGATCCTCTTTGATCAGTTTTCAAGAATTTCACTTAAGAAAAAAAAGATGTATACAAAAATGTAAGTAAAACAATGAGAAAACACTATGGCTTGTACAAGTACAAGACGGCATATATTCTTAGCTCACCTAATATTTTTCACGGTCAAGTGATGATTTTTTTGACAAGACCCCATGAAAATATTTTTAAAAAATCATTTTTCCTTTCCTGAATGGAAAACAAGGAACTGCATAATACAAACATAACTCTGGCAACATTTTAAAAATCTTTGATGCACCTGTATCTTATAATCTTTACTCTACATCATTATAATTACATTCAAAGTAGATGTGCTAAAACTAGAATTCCATTTCACTGAAGGTATATAGCTTATAGCCATATCTAGCATTACTCTATTATTATCATCAAAAAGATAAATAGACCATAAATAAGGGCTGGTCTTCTATCATAAGACTCTCCATTATATAAAAATAAGTAAGACTGGTAAAAACAAAAATCCTTTACTTTGGGTCTGCCATTTCTTTGAATACTAACCAGTTTGTTTTTTAACTAAGAATATAATTACAATATCATATGAAAAAATATGTTGCTTATCCTGAAAAATAAATGTAGGGTAGGAATGTTTATGATGTTAAAAAGCTGATAGAAACAATGATGTTTAAATGTGTACTCACCACCACATCATTCGTGTCTGGAACATTGACAGTTTTCACAACCAGGTCTACACCACACGTCTAGATCATGTTCAAAATAAATAAGTACAGCTTTTTATGGCAGTAGGATAAGTACAAGGTAAAAATAAGAGTACTATAAAAACACAAACTTTTCATTGCCTGCATAAAAAGTGAAACTGGAAAAAAACAAGTCTGAGAACCTTTTGTAAAACGTATTTAATTTTCTGTAAATATATATATATATTTTTTTCATTGCCACGACTTATCCTATTTTGTTCTGAAATGTGAAAAATGGAGCAGTATTGATTATCACCAATAACTTTCACTTGTTTAGCTGTTATAAGGTAGGAAGAATGGATATTTGTGATAAAGATCAGTTTTCTTCATTCATTAGATATATTATAGTGTGGTCATTGTAAATGTACATCTATACATCAGTTATAGCTATGAGATCATTGGTTAAGCTGGTATTCCATGTTCAGAATTTTCCTTACCTCACAATGTATTTCAGGTAGATACATTTCCATAGAATGATAGCCATCACATCACTGCTGAAAGAGTTTTACACGTGCCAAGCCTTTGAATGAAACTTCCACCCCTATACGTAATACTGTATACTGGGTTACAATCAGTACTAGATTATAGCTCTCCACCAATAGGAGGGTGACACGTTTCAACTACTGTGTGACACTAGCACCATGTAGGAGGTTTTTTTGACACTGTCTTTTGCTCTGTCATCTCTATTGGGCAAAAAAGAGTATGCAGTCTCCTTGTGAGTGATTTCCCACTAGCCCTTCCCCACCACCACCAGGTGGGTGACAGAAAAGAGTATGCAGTCTCCTTGTGAGTGATGTCCCACTAGCCCTCCCCCACCACCACCAGGTGGGTGACAGAAAAGAGTATGCAGTCTCCTTGTGAGTGATGTCCCACTAGCCCTCCCCCACCACCACCAGGTGGGTGACAGAAAGGGGCTCGTTGTTCAATTTTCTCTTTCTCCATTTGTCCCTCCAGAGTGTTATCAATGTGAGGTTTAGTTCTAAGTTCTGTAGAGGGGTGATAAGCATTTCTGAAGTTAACATTTTCCTTGCTTGAAAATGTTTTTTCAGATAGACAATCACCTCTCCATGGAGCCACTCACCCTTCCTTCTCACTTCTGGTGTGTCTCTTTTGGCTTATTAAGAATGAGCCTTTGGTACAATCATTGTGCTCAAGGGGAGTACTGACATGATGACTGCTCAACCAGCCCTTATATCTCAGGGGGACAGCACAGCATATTTATGTAGTGTGGCTATGACAATAAATTTGGAGAAATGCTTACAGGAAGTACTTACCAAAATAAACAGGTATTGGAATGAATCATTCCTGATCTACATCCTGAGGGTAATGAAAGACCCACCTGGCTAACATACCAACTGCGAACAGTCTGGTTCTTAGTCTATATTACATTCCATCCTTAATTTTGATTGAGTATGTCTCCACTTTGTCTCATCAGTGGTATTACACCAACCCAAAGGGTAACTCTCCATATTGATCTCACAGAAGCTTGGGACTGAGGATGAGGAAGTCTTCTCACTTTACTCTATTGGACAAAAATGGAAGGGTGCAAGGACCAAACAGAATTTTTCTGTCAAGTACATAAATTCCCACACTGATAAGCTATATAATTGGTTACCACAAATACTGAGGTATGGTTCTGGAAGGTAAAACATATATACACATATCAAAAACATTACAATGACACTAAAAAATCAAAAATTATTTTTCCTTTACCAGTCCCTGTTGCCATCATTAAGTCATAATGGACAGTGTCTATGGCTATAGCATCCAAACATGTTGGGGATATTACTTCACCTATCAGACAAGATCCAAATGTCGATCTCAAACTAGTCAGCTACTATGGAGAATCAGTTGAGAGCTTAACCGACAACGTCCCAACTCCTACTGCTTTTTTGCTGTCTGTAGCCAATTGTGGGAATGAAGTTACCTTTAATATTTAGATATAACCTTAAAGCAGAAATAAACCTCCCTAAAAATTCTACAATGTAAAACTCCCAACCCCCACCCTTTTTTTAATATCATGACATGTACAGGAAAGCAAAAATATTCTCATACTAGAAATAGACCACCCTATATTTCTACAAGACTCTCAACCTCCACCTTTTTATTTACAAAATGATGTAAAACAGACTAAAAACCCTTACTTAATAGTTCTTTAGCCTCCATCCTCCTCCCTTTATCTGGAAAACTTGTTCAAGTATAACCCAAGTTAGGGGCAGATCCAGGATTCTCTTAATGTGGGAGTCCAAAATTTGTTAACTTATAACTGCCATCGTAAGATAGTAAACCTACTGGTCACCATTTTCTATTTAGTAATGATCTTCGTGTCATTAATAAAATAAAAATATCAAAGCATTTTACATTTAATTCAAACCAATGATTTATTAAACAAAAAGTGTGATAGATATCTAGGTCATGTTTTTGAAGATTAGCTGTAATTGGCTTGACACTCTCTAAAGCATTTTTGACAACAAGAAATGCACTAATATTTTGTGATAATGTGAGGCTTTTGAAAAGTCCCTGTGCTTTTACTCTGGTTTCTTGGTTCCAATATCATGGCCAAGAATCAACACTGTAAATTTATGCATATGCAGATAGGTCTAACATTGATTCCAGACATTCAGAGATATATTCAAATATTTAATAAAATGTTTCATAGCACATATGCCACTCTACCCATCTGGTTTTACACATCCCTACCAACTTATTTCTTTTCACATCTAGAGTCATATATTCTAGACATTGTTCAAGAAAATGTTGGCTCTGAGGTGAACTATACAACAAAATTAACACTCTCCTCTTGCCTACATCTGTATAGATTTTTAAATGAAAAAAAGGGAGTCCAGAACCCCTGGAACCCCCCACTCTAAATCTGCCTCTGCAGGTGAGCTGAGACAAGCCTAGCTACTTAAAGATGGTCTTTCCATCCTAGTATATTGAATAAATACCTAAATATTTTAAAGCTAGTTACTTATAAGCCAAGGATGACCTTAAGCAACTAATGACCTCCAAGTTCTCCATAAGGTAATTCCTGAAAATCAAGAGTTTACTTTTTAAAGCAATTTCAAATTTATTGTAAAAAAAGTATGAATTTTTCTTATATGCCAGTCCTTATAATCATTATTTTTCAATTTATTTATGAATAATTGAACATTATCCACAAAAGAATTTTTATTGTAACAAATTGTTTTAATCTTTTCATTACTGATTAATTGTGCTGATTTAATCACCTACTGAAAATTAATGCATTTGATAGCATTAGAGCTATATATATTACCATAAAAGTCTTGAGGAAAACTCCCACCTCAACAGCAGGCACTGGGCAGGAGCAGTTGGGCTTAGTACTTTCTGTTATCCCCCACTCAATGTGGATTTCACACGGGTGAAACAATTGCTTGACAGTGAGTGTTTTAGTTTTTCATAATTGTATGATGTGGAAAAAAATGGTTAGCAATAACTATAGTGAATTGGATACCACAGAAGAGTATAAAAAGTATTAGTTAACCATATGAAAATTGGAAACTTTCAGTACTAGTATTAATCAGTAGGCAAAGAAGAAATCCAGATCAACAAGGACACATATTTAGTAAAAAGTAAACTTCCATGACTGGAATGGTAGATGTGAAAAACCCACAGTTCACTTTATCATTCCAGAACAGAAATGGTTAAATCAACAAGTTCTACAGTGTTTAAGACACAGTTGTCAGGTAGCAGATGAGATAATGCTTGCCATATCTGGGAAGGAGTTCAACGGTGATGAAGCAATGGGCGCATAAGAGGAAACCTAAACACTAGAGAGTAGATACTTATACAAGAAACATACCTAGGTTGAGATGCTTGGACTTTAGGAATGTCAGAGAATATAGATAGTATATCAAGAAGGGTGCACCAAATAAAGAAAACCAAGAATTTCAGTAATATGTGCAGAACTAGCAAGATGTCATAGTACCGTGCACAAAATAACTGAGCCAAAGTCAGAATCAAGTGCTGCAGTCTTAGTTCTAATTGGAATAATACAAACATCCTGTCTGCCAACTATAAAAGCCAGAGATTTAGAGACAGTAGGATAGTAAGTCAGCTGAACAAGTCCTGTCCAGTAATTGCTCTGCTGATGATATCCGCACTAACTGAAATCATGAGCTTCTGCCACCCAAGCTTCATGTCAGTTGAATTGACCTTAATGTCTAGCCTAGCAGCACAATCACTTGAATGTGTCCACAGATCTATTAAGACTTGAACTAAACTGAATACATTTTTAACTGCAGTTGAAATGTTAGTGAGTATATTGGAAGAATCGTTGAAAGACTATCCAAGTTGCTGAAAAGTGATGCATAGATATATGTAACAGTGCCTTATATGTGTTAAGAATAAATATATGTTTTATATTTTTTTCAACTCATTGGTCGTAACCTTTATTCTTTATGAAAACTTCATTTAATTGGTGGCTTGTGAGCCTTACCCATGAATGCGTAAAAATATCCTGGGAATAAATAAATTTATTTATAAAATGTGGAAGTTGAACCCACAACAACCAACACCACCCGATACAAAATGACGAACGATTTCAATATTAGATTAACCAACAACAAGTTGTACAGAATAAGGAAAAGGAGTTGAAATAAGTTAATTTAACTCTTTCACTATAGGCTTGGTTGGTTTGACCTAAATCTTGACCATAAATTATCCTTTATAGTTTCCATACTATACCTTTTAATATGTTTTGTGTATCTTCACAAAATTCTGAAATCTTTCAGTAAGCATTACAGGTCTTTTATAGACAAAAAATCTGAATTTTTAATGAAATATGTTTACTAAAAATATCTCCATGAATATATAGAGTCAAAGTGTTGACTGTTTCAATTGCAAAGCAATTTTCATGTTAAGATTGTGAAATTTCATTTGCGTAATCAATAAAACCTCTTGTAGACTTGTAACAGTATACATCTCTTTCTAGTTAAATTTCATTATTTCTCTGTGAGTGCTGTATAACTAATAATCCTGAC